ACCTGAGTATGTATGTATATATATATAATGTATTTATATACATACTTACATATGTATGTACTTACTGTTTTGCCAGTATCTGGTTGGTATAGTTCTGGTAACGTATGTTAAGTCCCTCCGACACTGGAACTGGAAACCAGCTTCTTTTGTGTCTTTCGCAGCGCAAAGGCGATGGATGTTGAACTGCCGATCAGGGCTCCAGGTGACAGGGGCCGTAGGTAAGGACCCGACAGTAAGATATAAGGAACCAAACTGTGAGGGGTTGAAATTTGAACAGCGTTGGGGTACGTAATTAGGACGGTCTTAAGAACGATCTCGAAAGTATAACTTTAATGAGGCTTCGAAATTAAACGAAATATCCTAAAGCGCAAAAAATCAGACCAAAATCCAAAACTTTCAAGACCACGATAAACCCGACACCTTCGTTATAGGAGCCTCTTGCCAGAACCTATGCTCGACGATGAGTAGGTCTAAGGTGCACGACCGGGATAACCTTGAACTCGTGTACTTCTTTCCTCTTCATACGCTGACCGGTTGATATGCATATGTAGATATAAAGTCCATGCTCCAAAAGTTACTTCAACTTCCAAATGTAAAGACTGCTATAGAGCCCCAACAAGTACAAGGCTCAAGCCCTCAGCTACGAAGTTGAATATCGCTGTACTTCGGTGTGTTAGGCCAGGTCGCATGGCCCAGTATGTACTCTCTTATGTTCTGTACTGCTTCCTGCTACGAACTACGGAGGACTTACGGAGGGTTCTTCATTCACTGTTTAATAGTTAAATGTGCCAGGATATCCGGGATGACATGCTACGGTGGGGGACTTAATTAATCAAAGTAGGGTGCCCTTACAATAAGGAGCCTACCTCTGACTCTCTGTCGGCGTCCGTTATCGTTTGAGACTCCCAAACGAGCTCCAGAAAGTTGGAACATGAGCTAAGGATGCTACCCGGCATCATTATAGAAGCATGGTCTTCCAACTTTCTGGCAGTTACCTGCGTGTTTAGAGAGCGAGAGAGCGAGCGAGAGAGCGAGCGAGAGAGCGAGCGAGAGAGCGAGAGAGAGACAGAGAGAGTTCCTGGCTGATGTCAGGTTTGACTCTCTAGTATCTGATACCATTGCTCATATATTCGGTCCCTATTCCTAAGCCGTGAGCCAAAAACACGCGAGGTAAGAGTCTTTGTTCAATTTCTATAATTACTATCGACCTTCACTCCACTCTCGAGGCCTCGAGCCCTGAAGCCACATTGGACGTGGTTTGAGCAAACCCTCCTGTTGCATTGACTGGAGGCATGTCACGAAGTGGCTCAGCGGAATCAGCGGAAGCTTAGTTTAGTGAGAAGTTCGTGCCAAACTGCAGAGCGAATAGTTCCCAACGGAATAAGTAAGCACCACCCCGTGCCGGATATTGATCTATCATGCCAAACTCCTGAACCCCTGCAACGCCAACTTGGACCCGAAAGCTTTAGACCCTTCAGGCCATGAAGTTCAACATCGGTTTTAGTTTCTAGACTGGTCTAGGATGTAGCTTGAAGCTTCATAGTCTGCATGCCCTACACAGCAACATATCCTTCTGAATGTGAAGGGCCCTCGGCTTAACAGATGTCCCGTTTAGTCTGAGCGCGGTATAAAAGCCGAGCACCGTCTGCCGCATGCATTCCCGTGCTGAAACCTTGCGGAACTCTGCATTAGCCCTCAGAAAAGCGACCTAATGATTTCTGCCCCAGAAAACGGTTCTGAACCCGCACGTCCAGTCCTGCTCCCGAAATCCTTCATTATATCCCTGCGCTTGAGCACAGAAGTTGTCCGGTGAAGCCCAAACTCCCTGAATAAGGACTTTGACGCATTTCTGATACTTTGGGTATGCCCGGGCGAGGCCGGGCAGCTCGACTCCTCAGCCAGACCTTAATACTTGTAACCAATGATCTTTGAGGTCTACAGACCCAAATAGGTTTTCAAACAAGGCAAAACTTTACGATTTGAGCCCAGAAGCTGCACAGTGTTACTTTTCTGGGGGTTGAGAGCCCTAATATCCCTGCTAGGTTTAGACCTCCAAAAACGTGGGCAGAGCTGTGGCTCAATCTCGCGGATTCCTCCAAGCTTGTCCTGTCAAGCGCAAATTGCTGCAGGATCGTCAGCACGGGCAGAAACGCTTCTTTGTTTCCAAATTGACTGCAGAAAAACAGCAGGCTGCCAGGTTAGCCTTGCTTGCTTAAGGACCTTTACCTGGAACTCCATGTTTTTAGATCCAGACACGACCTGCACTGCTAGAGATAAGAAGCAAAAGGCCCAACAGAATTTTCGATTCAGGATTTGCGATCGCAGAGTAGCTTGCCAGAACTACAGGTGATTTGTCTGGGGGCTTTCGTTGAATGCTCATGGCATGGTTTAATTTAAGGCACGATCCGCGGTGCGTCGGCGATCCTCTTAGCCATTGCTACGAAGTCGGCTCGATACCCACCAGAAGTGTTGCGCAGCTTCTTTGCGGGTCATCAGGATGGTCTGGGTTTCATGGCGTGACGACAGTGTGCATGTGATTGAACACAGCCACATCCATAGCTATTACATACATATATATATATATATACATATGTATATATGTGTGTGTGTATTTTATCTGTTTAAGCTGTTTGTGTAATCAGGGCCATGCTTGAAGCCTTTACGACTTTCTGTAAAGTCCCCGGTGCTTCCCTGCACACAAGGGGTCGGCGGGAGTCCGCGGCGGGAGTCCGCGGCGGGAGTCCAAGCTTGGGCACGCCAAAACCGAAACCACCATTGCTTCGGGGTTAAGGGCTTAAGTTCGTAGGGAAATTTGCATGTTTTGAGGGGCATTGGGATTTCGGACATTTGAAGAGTCAGGTCAAAGGATCGGGCATCAAGTGTGCAATACGTTCACGACCTGCCACACCAGCCCAAAGCATGGGTTTATCCGAAACCTGGCTCTTCCATGATTACGCTGTAGCCCTCACTAAACAGAGCCATAATATCCCCGGCAACAGTAAGACTTTGGAGGCTTAGGCAGAGTTCTCAAACTATTCGCTTCCATCGACAGCTCCACAAGAAGCTCTCTGCAAACCCAGGCCGTGGCCCATCCAAAGACGGCGTTCTCAAAGATGTCGGTGCTGAGCATCACGAGATTCCAATCTCCCTTAACCACGGACCTGATGTCATCCTTATCCCAAAGGATCGCATGTACCGATAATGAGGAGGGATACATAAAGTGAGCTACACGAGCCAAACTAATAATCGGGGATGGAGAGGTAGGACCTATGATACTAGGAGTATTGTCAGGGAGCTCTAGGATATTCTCCGGAAGACATGAAGCTACCACAACCTGTGCTGTTCCTATCGCCCAGCCTAGGCCTAGATCGACGAGTAAGGTTCAGACTCATGCATCTGCTATGAAAGCCCGACCTGAGACCCTTAAAGTTGGGCCGCACACACTCACAAACAAGTAAGCTCGACGAAGTAGGTTATGGTAGCTAAGGGCATTCTTAAAGGGTCTTGGAGTCTCCGGGCAGCACCGCTAGACCATGCACACATCCTGCGGATCAACCTTGGCCCTCGGGGAGCCATAACCACAGCCGAAGCTGTGCCTTTGACGTACAACGAACGACTTTGGCTCTAACTTGCGACTTGTTTTATTAACGTACTTCTTACGGCAAGCGCAGGCGCAGAGGATTTGTTGCTTAGGGTTTGGTATTCCTAGTCTTGTCATGATGTCTTCTTCCGACGCATCGAAATCCAAACATCAGCCCCCAAACTTACCTCAGGAACTACAGCAAGGACATCAGTATACGAACCATCAAAAAATACAGATAGCTTTTGCAAGGGCCCCAAGCCAGAACCGTTCGCCGGCATCTACGAGGGCACATGTGGCACAAGCAGGGTCGGAGAGCAGCCGAAGCCGAAGAAATGCAAAACATAAAGATGTCCTTTCAAGGGTTCCTACAAGGGTTACTTCACCGATTCCTTTCTGGGCTTGTTTCAGGTTTGTTACGGGGGTTCCTTTCAGCGGTTGCTGCAAGGCTTCATGTAAGGGTTCGTTTCAGGGCTGCAGAGCTTCGTATACCCACAGGCTCACCTGGAAGTTCAGGATTCAGGCTTTGCAAACCCAAGCATAAGAGTCACAGGCATAGTAGTATAGATTTGCCTCAGTTTTGCAAGACCTCAGCCCAAGATAGCAACACCCTACAGACCCTGAAGATCCGAAGCCCTGCAACTCGTATACCTTTGAACCACCGCTGCTGCTCCCCTCCTGCCAGCCATTGTGTGACACGCGGTATTTGAAGCTCGGGACTCTGCAAATGGGAGTTCATACCTCATTTTAAGGGTCAGGATTTAGGTTTGGGCTCTCGCACTCGGGCAATCCAACGAAGCATGTGGTGTGTAGGGCCTGATGGCTCATCATATGGTCTTGGTCGTCAGGGGTGATTCAAGCTCTGTCAAATCCTACCGCTAGCCCAAACCCCAAAATAGTGGGGCATGGTCGCCTACGAATAAGGAAAAAAAACCTCAACCTCATCTTTCAATGTCTGCACTTTGTGGGCTGTGTAAGATCGATCCTAAATTAAGAAAGTCGCAGAGGGAACCATAGCCACAGTATTTACGGCCTACCTTGGTCTAAACCATGTGCCTGTTGTTGTAGCGAGCCCGTAGAATTTCAAATGTTTATATACCAATGGACCATAGCCATGGACCTCAAATCCTTGCCCGGCATTATCCTAAGGCGGTAAGGGTCAAAGTGCTGAAGAAGCTTTTACTCTAATAGTACTAATTCATCGCAGTCCCAAGCATGAGTACCGAAGCAGTACATACTGTGGACCCTTAGGGTTAGGGCCAAACATTTAGCAGTCCAGGATACCTATATCCCGATGTACCCAACATGCAAAAAGAGGGCGGGGTTCTCCCGCAGATACAGACACTTGTGTCGCACAAAGCCTAGACTCCCAAACCCCCAACTCCATGCTACCAACAAAATACCCTCTGCAGATTCCTTTTCAGAGGTCGTCAATATCGCGGGTGGTGCGCTCGATCGAGCTCCACGGACGCTGCCTCGTCTGGGAGGAACTGAGAGGCGTCTACGGATAAAGTCTGTTCATAGGGCATTCAGGTTTAGGTCCTTGGGTGTTACGGTTCTAGGGTTGTTTGATCGGTAGATTTCGGAGGTTTGTCGTAAGCCTGTGTTGTCCAGTGAGGATGCGTGTCGCTACCTACAAGCTCCCACTGCTGTTGTTGTGTAGTTTTTTGATGTACATTACGCTTGAAAAAACCGCTATTCTTGTTGCTACGGCGATGCTTTTTAAATACCCGGACATCTAAACAAGTTAAACAGGTGTGTCATACTACTTCCGTGGGCATTGTCTCCGGGCCGCCCAATTTTAAAACACACGGAAAGACAACAACACGAGACTCCAGCCCGCAGACTCCGTCCTTCGCCTCTCCAGCCCTCTTCCCAGCCCTTCAGCCCTCCAGCCCTCCAACCTTCCAACCCCTCCTGCCATCCAGCCAGCCTTCCAACCTTCCAGCCTTCCAGCAGCCTTCCAGCCTTCCAGTTTCAGCCCCTCCAGCCTTCCAGCCCCTCCAGCCTTCCAGCCTTCCAGCGCCTCCATCCAGCCTTCCAGCCCTGCCTGAGAATGACGCGCTGGAAGGCTGGAAGGCTGGAGGGCTGGAAGGCTGGAAGGCCGGAGGGCTGAAGGCTGGAAGGCTGGAAGGCTGGAAGGCTGGAGGGCTGGAAGGCTGGAAGGCTGGAGGGCTGGAAGGCTGCAAGGCTGGAAGGCTGGAAGGCTGGAAGGCTGGAAGGTTGGAAGGCTGGACTGGAGGCTGGGAAGGCTGGAGGGCTGGAAGGCTGGAAGGCTGGAGGGCTGGAAGGCTGGAGGGCTGGACGGCTGGAGGACTGGAAGGCTGGAGGGCTGGACGGCTGGAAGGCTGGAAGGCTGGAGGGCTGGAAGGCTGGAGGGCTGGAAGGCTGGAGGGCTGGAAGGCTGGAAGGCTGGAGGGCTGGAGGGCTGGAAGGCTGGAGGGTTGGCAGGCTGGAAGGCTGGAGGGCTGGAAGTAAACACCCGGAGCTAAAACATACGGATTAAAACAGGTGTCTCATGCTGCCTCTGTTTGGATCTTGGGTTGCCCGCCCCCCCACATGTTTTAAAATTCTCACCGTACTGTTTGTCATTATTGAGACGGCCATTCGTTCGTGCGACTGCCCCCTCTGAGCCCCAAAAGCAAGAACACCGATGTTACCAAACCCCTGAATCATAAGTAGTCATAAGCAGCCCACATTGGACATCTGCTCAAAGTTGCCCGAAACTTTCCGCCTCGCCACCTGAAAGCACAAACCCCGAAAAGCAACAAAAAACCTAATGCCCGCCTGGTGGGCGAGTCGGAGCGAACCGGCAGCGATGGCAACCCTGCCCAGCCAAATCGAATCGACATGCGAGGGCTGCTCCCGAAATCAGGCCTCTATGCCAACCCAAAAACTGATGATGTAGGAACCGGGTTGCTGGTTCAAAATCCCAGACAGAAACAGGTCCATGTCAAGGACACAAACAAGAACATGGACCCGCGATTCAGAGTATGCCATGACCCTTGGGTTGCTGACAGATACGAGTTTTGGCTTGGGCCTTCGGGTTTGCCGTTAAGAAGTCCTGAAGGTCTTTCTCTGAGTTTCGGACCCCCTAACAAAAGCCGACCCTGAACCGTATAGCACAAGCCCCTTAAGACCCCTTACTGCAGAAATCAGTTGGGAGCCCAACACCCACAAAAGCATCGCCGACCTGTCGAAACGGTCGCCGAGTATGGCCGCTGCGGCGATGTCCGTGGAGTGTTAAAAGTGTCCTGCATTCTGGGTAAGGCATAAGGGGATCAGGGTCTGGGGTTTCGGGATCAGGGTGTTTGGGTTGAGGTTTTAGGGTATCAGGGCATTTCCTTTTTACGTAGGAAGGTATAAAGGTAGAAGGTTCCTTTATAGGCCCTTGTCACGACTCCTCTAGGGGATCCATAAGCAGTCCTGCCTGAGAACTCTTGCAGGAGTCGCATCTGGATGTATTTCGAGCTTTTCCAGGGTCTTTCAAGGGGTCTTTATGACTTTGTGAAGCTATCGGGCCTGCTGGTCTTACAGGGTTTCTGCCGTTCTGGAAAACTGTGCGACAAGGTCCTGCGAGGGTTCTACATGCATCGGTCCTGAAAGGGTCCTACGAGGGATCCCAAATTGGTTTAGGGCTCAAGACGAAGCTCGAACCGTTCAAGGTTTAGCGTTTAGGAGGGTTTCGGAAGGGAGCTCCTGAATCATGGGGTATATCATATGACCTAAGTTCTGTCAACTGCGAAAGGTGGGCAAAAGCTCGCCAATCTAGGCTCCTAAAGGTTAAGTGTTTAGGACTTAGGATTACGTGCCCAAGCCTCTGCACCTGGCTGCATCTTTGCAGCTGTGAGTGTAGCAACTGTGGGCGGCTTCTTGGGGATCCGAAAGTGTGCCGGAGTGTAGCGAACAAGGACTCCCGGACAATGCATGTACATGTAAATATGTACATGCATATAAACATATATATATATATATATATACATATACATATACATATACATATATACATATACATATACATATACATATATACATATACATATACGTATACATATATATATATATATGTATATATATATATATATATACATATATATATATATATATATATATATATATGTTGCGCATACATATGCCTACAATATGTATGTATGCTATGATTGCATTAGGAACCCTTGTAGCCGCAATGCTTGGAAGGGAGCCCTACTCCAGGAGCCGTCCCCGCACAGCCCCTTCCCGCCCAAATGCTCCCGAGAGGAGACGCAGCGCGAAGTGTCTTGGAGGCCCTTGCCGAAGCCCGTGAAATACTTCCTGGGCTGAAATTTCGCATTGATGGGGTCTGTGGATGCAGGATTGCTACTTCCTGAAACTTTGGCATTTTCTAGGGATTAGATTGCGGGGGGCTCTGGGAATCTGGGGCATTCGGGCTTGAAAAACACTCGGACATTCCAGGCGAGGCATGTGGTTCGAGGGCTGATTGATGAAACTGACAATCTTCGGTGGGAGAGACCAATAACAACAGCACGTTTTATAGTAACAACCTGCTACTAGACGGCCGCCTTCCCACTGAGATCTTGTAGATCTTGTGTGCACAGATACCTGGTTGGGACCTCAGCACTACCATCTACCTTAGATCACACGATGGGGCTGAAGGTAGGCTGAAGGTTCTGAGGAGGGCAAGGATTCTACGAGCTTAGGCCTCTAAACCTCTGCAAGTTTAGGGATCTGGGGCTTTCGGATGTGGGGCTTCAGGAATTTAGCAGCTATTGGCACGGCATAGGCTGGCAGGGTGTATCCTGAAGCGCTATAGGGTTTCAGGTCTTGAAAGGTTCCAGATATGTAGGGCGTCAAACAGCCAAGCCCAAACATGTGTCTGCGTGAATAGCTAGTACTGGAGCAAGCTGGAGCTCGTATTTGGAGCCATCACACGAGGAGTACCTATTGGCATGAGTTCCAAAACCGGTCCTTGACGGCCATGGACCGGAGACGCATCAACTCTCGTCAAACGGATACTCCATTACGAAAGCTTAGCTACACATTTAGTGGTGTCGACTGAGACCCAGCAACTAAACCCGAAACTCGAAACCATGACGAGCTTATTTATCTGATGCACCGCAAGACAGCAACCTCAAAATCCTCATGGCACCAAGCTGCTGCATGATGTCCACATTGCCATCGATGCGGGACAGTCGTCTCCTTTTCCATGTTCCCCAACGCTAAACAGCTAGGCCCAAGCGACTCACGTCAGTACCTAGGGATTTCTGTTTGGCCTCAAGTTTACCCAAGTTTAGCAGAGTATTTGGAAGGAGGGCAGAATTCTCTGCTCAAAAGCAGGGTGGTTAGAGGTAGGGCCATGCTGTAAGTAGCTTCGAGTACATAGCCCCAAGCGATGCACTTGGAATCCTACCACTACCTACGAACCAGCTTCCAACCACCTGAAACAGGAATCTCGTCGGAACATCGTGTTCGTACTTGTCGGTGGTATGACATACTGCAAGCTGCAGACATAATGTGAAGACTATTGTGCCAAAAATTGCAACGGCTCATGCATTGTCTTGCGTTGCAATTTGGTCGTCTTGTGCATATGGCCCACCTGTCTCAGCAGGATCGGTGAACACTTGCCACAGCAGTACGAAGCATTACAAAAGGCGCTGCAGTGTCATCGCTGCAGTCCGTACAACACATTTCCATACCCATAGGCCCCATAGTAGTAGTTCCTTTTTGGGAGTACCTTATAGGATTCTAAATAGGAATCCCAAAAAGGAACTACTTTGGGGCCTATGGGTAGTTTGAAATCGCCCAGTCACACCCCAGAGACTCCAATACCCCATAATTAAGGAATATACCTTACATGTTATTAGGGACCCTACTATAACTTAAGGCATGTTCCTTAATTAAAGGAATATATATATATATATATATACACACCTTAAATCATATTAGGGACCCTACTATCATTTAAGGTATATTCCTTAATTGAGTGGTATTGGAGTCTTAGCGCCTCACACTGGCTCTGATCTGGTAAACTCAGCGGCAATGGCGCTCGAAATCAACACTGCTGTTGATGATATAAATCCTGCATTACCTTAAGGACCCTGTAGTATGGGAATTATGGTATATTCCGTATTATATAGGTAATGCAGGATTTATATCATCAACCGTACTATACAGTAACGTTCCTGACTTCCGGGCGTGTGCAGATGATGCTGGTCAAAGGAAATCTATTCCCATTCGCGGTCCTAGCGAACACAAACTTCCCCATACAAGCTCTTTCCCGAGGACAACTGTTGCATGGATAAATACCTCTGTATACAGGTTTGTGTGTAAGGGTTTGGTTGTGCTTGCCCGAAATACGAGAACGTTGACTAGTCATAGCCCTACCCGCTGAGTATGCCGGCGAGCATCTGTGTTGCCGAAATGTCCTGCCGCAGGTCGTTGAGCTCGATGCCTCAAGCAAGGCCAGGATTCGAGAATTTCAGGGCTTCTGCCCCTTACAAATCCTGCAACAAAAAGGAGGGAAGCTAACCAACAACGAAATCACAGCTGACACAACCCGACGTCCTAAAACAACCCTAAGCCCCGAACCATCAACAATCCCTGAACCCAACAAAAACTTCCTTAGCATGTTCATTATCTTTACTTATGTGCCGCGTTATTTCCCCGAGTTTTGTGTACAATGCTCGTCAGCTCTGCCCATAGTCGCCTTTCGGAAGTCGTCTGCAAAGACGGTTTGTCACTACCGAACGACACACCCGAACTGGAGCTCAGCCGTCAGGTGAGCGGCATGCGCATGGGACCTTCTGAGGCTAAGGCAAGAGGTTTCGGGTTTTTGGAATACGGTTTTGGGTTCATGGTTTGGGAGTCAAGCCTCACATCCCGGAAACCTAAAGCCTTGCCTTAAGCCTTAGAAATCAAAACGCTACATCCCAAGAACTCGAGTGTCGAACCAGCAAACAGTTCACCAAACCTAGAACGCAAATATTACAATGCTTGTTGCAAGGCCCTACCTTCAGAAACATTCTTGCAGCCCCGGCGCCTTTGGCATTCAGCTCTTTCTGACACTTCTGAAAGTCCTGGCTTCAGGGCTTGCAGAGCTCAGAAACATCAGATTTGCACAAGGTCTGAGATCGAATTGGCTCCACGTCAAGTAACACCACCAAGCAGCAAATTTTCAAAACAAGACCAACAAGAAGAGAACAAGCAGCGGTAATGTGCAGGGCCTGCCGAAATACAGACTGCAATTAGCAACGGCCAGCATCATGGCCGCAATCATTAAGACAACGCGATGTCTGTCTACTGACCACCAAAGCTGACCAACCCTAGGCCGTAAACTATCGTCAAACATAAGGAATAATGACAACGATTTCTCCTTGGCTCACTTTCAGAAGTGGGAATTTTAGCATGAAGCCTCAACCTCGAGATGCGAAGCCTGCACCTGACTCCCACGAGCGTGAGCCCAACACCCAAAGAGTCTAAACTGCAAACCCCGGGCAACACATCCGGTGCAGTGTCAGGCAAGGGATCCCAGCACAGAGCTCGAGACTGTTATTAGCTCGCCTTGGAGGCCCTTTCGTATCTATTTTGCCTTGTCGGTCTGGGTTCATGGCTGCACGAGTCATACCTCGGTTTAAGGATTACGGTAAAGGACTATGTCGGGCTTAGGGTTTTGGGTCTGCGGCTACGGCTTAGACATCAGCCAAGGCTCCCCCTTGCATGACTGCAGGCGGGTGTTGTGTTCTTCGAACTTCTCCGTCGCCCCGTGCCTGCCGGGCCAGGGGACTCCTACATACGGCACCTCAATGCTACAATACTCCTGAGGGGATAGCGCCTAGGCGCCTAGTGATTTAGCGTCTGTTACTGAAAAACAAAAGCCCGCTGTTCTTATGATGGAGGAATAAGGTCCTGTTATTCAGGGGTATTAGCGCTCGGGAGGGCTCAGCGCCTCTCAAGGCTTGAGTATTGTGTAAGATGTACAGTGAAGTCGCGGTCAGGAAATCCGCCGGCATGGAATCAAACGGTAACCCCAAGCACTCAAGTCCCCTTTGCCGAAGACCATATCGGTGTTTCCGAAAATAGGGGGTTCCTTCTTTTGGGGTCCTTATAATAAGGATCCTACTATTTAGGGTACTATATTAGGGTCCCCTATTTTGGGAAACTCCCATACACCCCCAGGCATGAAGCACTGATCCCGAACCTGCCTCTGAAGCCTAAACCTTCTCAAGCTTCGAGCTTCAAGGCATGGTAAATTAAGCCCTTAAGATTGAGGGCCCCAAACACTGAACAAAAAAACAAACCCAAACCACGAAGCCTTGAAACAGCAAAGCCACAAAAACAAGACTCTTACAAGACTCTTAACGAGTTGAAGAAGGCTCAGCGAGAAGGAAACTAAACTCCTCAACGGCATAAAACCCCTAAACCCCACCCCACCCTGCAGCCTCAGCGCGGAAGCCCCAAAGCCTAAACCCTCAACCCTGAACTCTATAGGCCACATATGTCGGCAAGGATGCTGCCAGAAGTGCAAATCCTGCACTTCGCCGTCGATGACCTGGGCTCCACTAGTTATGGAAGGGCAGTTGGAGTAGGGTTTTGGGGGTATGATTCTGTGTTTATATGGGAGGCTCTAAGACTCTACAGGAAGTATACGGGTAGTTCTTCAAAATTAGGGTCCCTTGTAGGGTCCTTTTCATAAGGAAGTCGTACTATTTTGGGGAACTAAGAAAGGCACACGTTTTTTAGAGAACTGCCCACCCACGGTCTTTCATTTGAGGTCGTTTCGGGTCCAAAGCTTTGGGTTTAGGATTGAAGGTGCGCATGGGCTTTCACCAGGGAAGGTTAGGATTTGGGGGCTTTACCCCTTTTAAGAGTTTACGTTCCTCCTTGCTGGGCCTTCAACTCCTTCAGGGTCTCGTATGGAATAGTTTTCGTTGAGGGCTTAGCATATAGCCTTGCATTAAAGAAGTTTCAGGTTCTTGGGTTTAGGTTTTGGGGGGTTGTGTCTTTCCTTCGGGGGAGCTTAAGGCTTTAGGTTTTGGGTTTCGGTGTTAGTACAAGTAAGGGCTTAGTTTACGAGGCCTACTTCTCAACTCGTGTAGAGCCCTTGATATAAAAGTCTTATGACACCAGACAAAACAGCCTAACCTTCTTGAGGAGGGCTGCAGTGCACATGCTCACATCCTAGGACACTTGATTCAAAGCCAAAGCAGAGCGCTTATAAACCTCAACTACTAACTACTAAGACAGGATCCCGAAACAAAAACCGAACAAACCCTGCTCATATGTTCACAACGCCTGCTGTCCCCCAAGACATAGAAGAACAAATCCCAAAACGTCAATGCCTCAATCCCCAGGCCGTCAGGCCGTCAACCCTAGAAACGACGAGGACGAGGGGCCGTGGCCCGGTGGTCGAAGTTCTGGATGGCCTCCTCCAGGTGCACCAGCGTCCTGAGAAAGGCACTGAAGCTTCGGTGGTGTTCGATATTTGTTTTTTTTTTTTTTGGGGGGGGGGGGGGGGGTTAGGGCTTTCTACGGCTTTGAGCGGGTTGAGGGTCATAGGCTTTATAGGTAGGGTTTTGGGGCTTTGGGCCTGGGGCTTAGGACACAGCCTTTGTAGTCTAGGGATGTTTGGGACTTTTGCGATTTTTTGGATAGGATTTCGAAGTTATTGGCTTTAAGTCGTGAGGGTGCATGGGGTTTGTGCTTTACCTGGCACTTTCTATGCTCTGAATCTCATTGACTGAGTGTGTCCCTAGCTCCAGAATCACTCCTCTGGGAAATGAACCATCGAGGTTGCAGAATCGAATCCAGGAGGGCTTCTTGGTGTTAGGCCCTGTTTCTGTGGAGAACCAACTGTCTCGCATTCTGGTATCGCGGGGGTCTCGAAAGAGCCGTGAAAAGGGGGTTTTTGGGTAATTATATGGATCATTCTATGACACGATTATAATCATACTATACTAGGGGTTTGCTGCGTGCGTTCGTGGAGTGGTGGGTTTTAACTTTTTTTTCTCAGGGCCTGAAGCACTCAGGCTGCAGGTTTGCAGGCTCTTTTCTGCGTGCTTCCGTAACAATTTCCATGGCGGCGTCGTACTTATTCGTGACAAAAAAACGCATTGTGTTCTTTACCACGGTCCGGCCAGAATGGACGACTAATCCGGCAATATCATCTTCGGCGTACTTCAGGCTGAGATTAAAAACTGCAACTTTGGACGTTAGGGTTTGGCGGGAACGGTCTGCCAACAGACATAAACCATGAGTCCTTATCGAGTGTTGTAAGCTCGAGAACCTTCAACCCGTGATTGCACCAGGCGGCTTGGAGAGCACATCCACCTGTTGCGACGAATTCGCCTTGGTCGTTTTTCAGCTTCGGTTGAATAGGGTTAGCTTGATCTTTCTGTACGACAGGATTTCGAGAAGTAGCTTCACAGCTTGTTGTGCGGTTGGTCTCAGTGCATCGCAAGCCCAGCTACGATTTCGAGTTCTGGAATACTAAACCCCAAAGCCTACCCGGTTCTCGCGGCTGCATACGGCTTTTCTCGGAACTCTTGTACGGGGACTATGGCTTCTGATGGCAGTCTAAGGAGTGCATTTAAGTCATGGGAGGAATTTAGTTTAGAGTCTGGGCCGGATCGAAACCTGAACCGAGCTTTCAACCCTATACCCTGCTGGGGCCTCTTATTCACTGGGACTGTACAACTCGTGCCCCGGTACCCAAACAGCAGGGTCTTATAGGTTCCGAATAGTTTGCTCTGAACCGGATTTTGTTCTTGCAGACTAACTGAGCAAGGATCAAACAAACCCCTATGTTCGGACCAGTACGGATTGGGCTCCATAGGGTTCTTCTTAGGGCACGTTCGGGCTGTATAGGTGGCTATACTAAACCCTCCCAAACGGCAAACCTAGCTCCCTAAAGCCCTCAAAGAGAGCCTTAGACCGCAAACCCTACCCCTGTTGAAGCTTTGAAGCCGGGGTGCCTGGCTGCGATCTACAGAAGCGATCTTTAGCGAGTTCTCCTCTGCCTGCTCATGGATCTTTGCCACGGTGTCCTGCAGGATCTACAAATATTATGTTAAGGGTAGAGTTTTCGGTTTCGGCGCGCACACTCGGACAAGCTAGGCAAGGTTCTTAGTTCAGGGTTGCTATAAATTTGCTGTGATGTTGTGCCACTACACCGAGGAAGCTGTGCAACATGCCGTTCAATAGCCTACGTGACGGCGTGGCAGTGGGGCAAAGGGCGCTTCTGATTTCTTGAAGCGTTCTGAACCGGCTTTTGAGGACGCACGCTCAACCCTGAACCCTAAACTTCGTGATACAGTGCAGCCCTTTTAACCCCTGCCCTGTGGACGGTGAGGCGGGGGGTCAGGTTTTGAAGCGCCTAAATGGGGAAATCAGGTTGTCCCGCCGTGTAGGTGTGATGCAGAGTACCTGTACAAACCTGACCCTATACCATAAAGAAACCCTACCTATAGAATAATCAACCTACCTTCAAAATGCAGGACATGGCCCTAAAAACATAGGTATGTCTCGCGGTGCCATGGCTAGGTTTAGGTATAAATCCTGTCCAACATTTCCCTGTTCTGAAACATGGTTTGTGGACGGTTCGGGATGTGGGAAGCAAGCAAGAATTGGAGTTGCGGAGTTGCTTGGGGGATCGAGAGCCATGTTGTGAAACCTTTAGAGCCATGGTTCGAAGCTGTAACCCCGAATCTTGGAGGGGTGCAAAGTCTACCAGGAGTTAAGGTAATGACCCTTAGCAGTTCAGGGGTTTAGGCCTTTGAGGAGCCCATAGACCTCTTGTACAAGCCACTGAACCCACATATCGAAAAACCTGAAGCCTTCTGAACCCCTGAAAAAAGAATCAACCCCAAGCCCCCCAAAACCTGCAGAGGTTCCTCTGAACCCGAAGCCAAAGAGGGTCCTGAAAAACTGAAAGGTCTACGCCGTTGCGTAAGTTGACCTGAGAGAAACCATCTTCCAGCTTCACAACCTGAGGGCGCTGTGGGTCTTGGCTTAGGAGTGAGTTTCAAGAGGATCAGGGGACTGATCAAGTAGAGTTTTGCATACAACAACTATTTGGGGCTTTTCCGCACCCAATGTATATGTAGTTACTTCCTTTGCAGACGTTGGCTCCACACACTCACAGAAGCCGAGGGCTCACATTTTATGCATTACGACGAAGCCTAGTTCCTTAATGGTTCCATCGTCTTAAGAAAGAAAAGAGTCTTGAGCTACAGCCGGGGCGAGTTTCTGCAGCATGAGACCCTGAATAAGAAAATCCTCACCACAGAAAGTCCCGATTCCCAACGTCAAGCCCCGATGCAGTTCCATACATTGCCATACATGCACATCTGCTGGTCGCTAACACTTCGCAGGACAAGTTGCAGCAAGGTTGGGAAAAAGGTCGCAGCAACCATAGACAGCATGGTCCAAACAGCAACTCAGAAATGAGACACCCAGCACCTGAAACTCTTTTAAAGGCCTAAACCTACATGCCGTACTACGCACCTCAAACTCTGTACAGCCAACCCCCACACACTTTAAACCGAGCTCGACCCTGAAACCCAACGCCTAAAACTGAAACCTTTGCAGCATCCTCTCCGACCCCCGACCCAAAAAAAAACGATGAAAGTCTAACATCCGAAAGCCACACACCCGGTAGCTTCAGCAGGGGTGTGGGACAATGTAAGTCTTATAGGGGCCCGACGGCGATCTGCTAGCATATCGCGAAATGACTGGTTATTCTTAAACGCTGTGGAAAAACATGAAATCCCAGCACGACCATCATTCACATGTTCCAAGTTTGGCATTAATTATGTTCCAAAAAAGCTCATTTTCTTCACCAATCTCAACAAGCCACTCGTCTGTTGAACTCCCTCCTTGGCACGGGGAAGAGATAGGCGGGGAGGCTTGGGAATTTAGGGTTTTGGATTCATTGGGTCTACGCTCTCGCAACTCGGACAATCCACACGAGGTTCATTGGGTTTGCGGTTCAAGTTTCCTCGTGGTCTCTGCTGTGCGCAGCATTTCTCCTTTTGCTGCTCTTCTTCGCCTTAATCCATGTTGACGGCTGTGACTCTGCTCGTTATTGCTCGGCTTAGGTATTGAGGAATAATCACGCTCATGCATGACTCCGGTTTGTTACAACTATATATCCTCGACACTTGATCATAACCTTATATGAATACCACCAGTAAGTCACCAGTACTGACCCTCCATTCCAAAGCTTATCTTCGTACCCTCTGATTTAGAGGTCTCTTCCTTCGGTATTTGAAGAACTTTCGAACGACTAGCCGCCAGTTGTGAATCCATACTCAAGCCCCGGACTCTAGAAAGAGCCGCCTCTGAAAAGCTCAAAACCAGCGGCGCCATTTGCATCATGATGATCATTGAACCCCCCAATCCAAACCCCCAAAGCCTCTAATCAGCTCTGAAACTGAAACCTCTGAGTATAAACCAAGAAACCGAATCCTTAAACTCCCGAAAAACTTGCGAGCCACAGACAGTACAATCCCAGAATCCTAAGCCCAAAGCTCCTTAGCTGGAACCTAACCTGAACGCTAGAGTCCCAAAGAACCCAAGGCAGTTCGTCCGCAAAGGGTCACTTGAAGGAAGAGCTCTGAGAATTGCTGGTAAAGTTCTTCCTGGGCAGAAAACCAAGGGAAACTGAGACGAACCCTACGAATTAAGGCCTACATAATGGAGTCCTCGATCTGCGGTTTCGGTCCCCTGTTATGTCGTACTGTACATGGTCAAGGATAACTCATCGGCTTCAATGAGTTCAGAGAACTGAACCCTATACCCAAAGCCCCTATGCCCTAGGCTTCGCGAACCATCCCAAATCTCCCTTTGAAGCTTGCTGAAATTGAAAAGGGGCTGGGATGACGCGAAGAGCATTTGGGGAGGGGGAGATCTAGTATCGCATACTTCTGCGGGGTCGATCAAGCGATATTCTGCCTTCGGTGCTGTTGCTTTAGGGAGTTTTTAGGGTACGGATCGGGGACTGTGGCGTGAATTCGGAATGCGGTGCTTACCTTGTAAAGCGGTTTGCGCTCTCGCAACCCGGACTCGCCAAAGGAGGTCTCTACGTTCGGTTGCACAACTTAGGCTAGCTACTCTGCCTCGCTTAGGGTTTCGGGCCTACATAGGCGTAGGAAGGATTTTGCTCCTCAAACCCAAGCACCCATAATCCAGGAAATCGGCCAACCAGCTTATGAGCAACACTACGGGATCCAGACGCCGTATCTCGAATCCTGATTAATTAATTGTCCATGTGCTCATATCGTATAATTATACGTTCGCTTTAAAGCTGTCCCTTTAGTGATACTTCAAGGCTAAAGTATGTACTACCTGGGTACATGGACCTTAGAGGAGGGCTTGCCGTGCGTCCTGAGACCGGATCTTGGCCATCTCCGCTGCGACGCGCTGAAACTCCTCGGGGTTTCGTAGAACGAGTGGCGGTTCCTGTTTCACTGAGCATTATATGGGAGTTTCCGAAAATTAGGGGTACTGTATTTTAGGGTCCTTAAAATAAGGATCCTACTATTTAGGGTACTAAATTGGGGTCCCCTATTTTCGGAAAATCCCATATGGCTTTACCAGAAGTTGGTGTTATAGTTATAGGGTCTCTATACAAGGACTTCCGAACGGCTGCTCTTGGGTTGTGCAAAAGAGTTAGTTACAAAGCTTGTATCTTTGCCGAGGGGGATATTTCGATTCGGGCTCGCTGGCTTGCCTCCCAAGGACTGTGGGCAATATTTATAAGGTTTTCGATTTAGGTCCTTTGTTACCCCCAAGAGTCTACGGACTAGACATTATAAGCCCTATATGCGGGCGTGCCTTTGACAAACTCTGCTCTAATTTCTTACGGAGCGCAAACCCTACACTCTAAACCCTAAGCCCCACGGTCCACGGCAACCGCTCCTTGTCGTGGGCCTTGAGCATGTTGTCCTGTGAGGCAGTGAGCGATGGACCAAGGATTCAAGTTTTGGAGCCGAGGGTTTAGGGCAAAGGGCTGATTCGGTATTTAGGATACATTTTTCTGCATTCTCTCCGGCAAGGCCGAGCCACCGCTCTCTCAATCTCTCTATGATTGAATCTCCAGCTCCCTTTGCCTGGCCTGCTCACGGAAGGTGCCCAGGTAATGGCTCAGCTTTGCTTCGAAGCCCCTGGAGCGGCCCGAGAAGTGCTGCGGGGGGAGTTTAGAGCTTCAGGCTAACGGTCTTGGAGTATGGTCTACTGAGCGACTTACAAGCGGTGGATATGGCGGAGTAGTGTAGTTTTGGGCTTACCTGCGGCTCCAGGCTAGTAGTGTTTCAGGCTTTTAGATCTATGGTTGGTTTTGGGTTCACCTGCAGCACACGAGCCCTGCAAGATAGCAGGCTATGAGCACATCTATCCCGACGTTCAAAGGGCCTAACACTTTGGACAAGATTGTTGGTCATCACCGCCATTCCTTCAGGCTTTAGGCGATAAGTACGTCAACATCAATAATCTTGGCCCGGCCTGGCGTGCTGGTTTAAGCACGCGAACTTCTCCTCATCTTCGCCCTGCAGCCATTTAGGGTTTAGGGTTGAGAAAGGTGCTACAACAATTCAATATTAGATTTTTTCCGTGTGCTGTCAAGGTTCTGTTGGGGTTCTTCCAGGGTACCATACCGCCTAAGCCCCAAAACCCTAAATCCCTCAACACCAAAAATCCCAAATCTGAGCCCCAAATGCAAGCCTGAAATCTTAACTGTAACAGCCCTTCGAAGAATTTGGAGATCTAGGGGTTAGTGTCTAGGACCTGCGGATCCTGTTCCTTGATGCCTACATGCCAGACTGGCTCTGCTCCAAGGACAGGGGTAGTTACAGCCCAACTTCAATCTTATGTAGCCGATTCATTGCCGCTTCGCAAATTCTTGTTGGTGGGGTTGAGAATACGGTCTTGCTTTGCTTTTGCCCTCAACTCTGAACAGCCATGAAACCACCCGGAGCGCCCCAACACAGCTGCCTGCTTCTGGCTCGCTTGGGCATTGGTTTTCCTGCAAGAAGACGACAAGAATGCCCTACAGTGGGGCTCGAGTTACCTCAATAGTGGGTTACTAACCGTATATTATGTACCCCAGTAGGCTACGGTGCAGGCCTTGGGGTTCAGTGCGATACAGGGCTTGGGGTTGCAGCTGCTGGGAGGAGGAGTAGTTTATCCTCTGTTCTAGTTCGGGCTATGTTCGTCGCAACCTTGCATGCAACAAGTCTCTGTGCCAACATGAGGAAACCTTATGACTCTGCTGTGGTCGAACTCTAGCCGGCAGCAGGATATCCTGAGTTGGTGGAGAGTTGAATGCCTGGGTGTTCCATGACCTCGCAAGTTCGAATGGTCTATGCATCCCATAAAACTGCAAAAGCTTCGTCTGGCTCAGAGGTTGCCCTAAAACTTGCAAGAGACCATAATAGCCGCCCAGCCTCAAAAAAGAGCCACTCAAGGGCAGTAGATGCTCCCACCCTGAAGACCCAAACCCTAAACCCTTACGTACTAAACTCAAAAAGCCCCTACACCCAGAAATCCAAGCGTGGCATCTCCAAGCCTTATGGCTTCGCTGGATCTGTCCGACTTCATGTGGGCTTCCCCTGAGCGGCATGAGGCTAGGTTTGAGCATGTGTTTAGGGTTTCGGCAGTGAGGTGTGAGGGTTTTTTGAGGTTTAGGGTTTGGCATTCACCTGTTTCTGTGGTAATTTACGGAGGAGCAAAGGGCAAGGAGGCTTTCAAATATGAACTCTGGGCATTTCGGGTTCAAGGCCTGGGGTTCCGGAACTTAACATTAGGGTCCAGAACTTGTTGGTTTCAGGGAGCCTGGGGTTCATGGTGAATTTTTCTTTGGTCTACATAGATCCCTGCTTCAGGGTCTGAAGAAACATGGAGCCGTTATGTCTCCCCTCCTATCCCCCTAAACTCCTAGAAATACCCATGAACCCAAAATCGCTACAAGCCATCTATGCCCGAAGCAAGCCCTACAAGGTACGATCTATACGGCTCAGGAAAACACATCTCGGAACTGTGACGGGAGACTGCTGCTTGTAGTTATGTCGACCCCGAATTCACTACATGGAAACGCTGACGCTCAAATTCTATGACGGCTTAGGAGGCTGTGTGATGGCAAGATTTGGTGGCCTAGTTTACGCCCAGGGGCACCAAGACGAGGAGCCAAAAGCCACAGGAACGTAAACTATTGACAGCTACTTACCTTCGTAGAGAGGTACCACCTTCAAGTGTCCATGTTTCGGCCCTGTATTAGTCCAAAATCCGAGACCAGAAAATCTTGTATGATAGCTAGACTAGAGTTTTGGGGGTCTCTGTTTCTATGTTCCGACCCCTGCACTATGTCCCGTTATGGTCCCAATATCCTTATACTATGATACACCCGCCTCCAAAACAAGACTTGTTCTCATGATTCATACAGATCCTGCATTCAATCCAGGGCGAGAGGCGGATCGACTCCTGCTGCGTAGCCTGCTCACCTTTCAGATCCTTGCAGAACTGGTGCAGGTGCTCGAGCCTCCACGATGGGTTAAGGGCTCAGAGCATGTACGAACCCTCCAGTTCTAATCGGCTTCTAGATAGTCATGTGAATATTTCGTCGAAGGATTCAGGTCTGAGCTTGAGGTTCGTAGAAGCGGCGTAATTACTCCGACATACGCCGCCCCCCCCACCCGCCCTAGCCCCAGACGGTATTTATACCGAGCCAGACGCCCCAAGTTCTCACCACACATCGAAGCCAAAGACAGTTCTTCACCGTAAACCTAGACCCTAAACCCCAAACCCTGCAACTTACGACCCAGCTTTTGACCCTCAGCCTTGAGTCCGCGAGGCCCACAAGAGAGATCGCAATCCATGGTTCCTGCGTGTTGAAGCAGCCTGTATACCTTGTAATAACAGTCTTCGTCTTCGCGTCCCTGACCATGGGAAAAATTTGAAAACACACCTGAGTTAGATGATATAAACGCCGCCCTGATGCATGAACCCTACAAAGAACACCTACTCCCCTAAACTCTGAGCCTACGCTCAACCCCTGAACATCCCTAAACCCTAGAGCTGTAGTGCCCTGAACCCCAGAACAGGTTTCGCAAACACAACGACAGGGCCTTTTGTCGACAACGAGCTGCTTTTGCTCAGCGTGGTCCAAACCTCTGCATCACTTGCCGAAGCCGGTGTTCAGGTTGTGTAAGGTATTCATGAGTTTTTAGACTTGTCATTTGAGTGTCAGGGTCTTTTTTAAAAGTTTAGAAGCTTATTCTGCTTTGCAGGCGGGGTGCGAGTCAAGAGGTTCAAGGGAGTGTAAGGTAAGGTGTTGGGGTTTAAGGTTTGACTTAGTCGTGCCCCGGTGGTCAGTAGCGGGCTCTTGAGTGCAGGCCTCGACTTCAGCACCATACCCACGTCAACCCTAGCCTAAACCCTGTAAACCCCTCTAAACCTCTGAAAAGCCCTATAAATGAACCCCATATAAACCTATAAACCCTATAAGCCCTATACGCCCTTTCATTTATAAAGCCTATAGACCCTCTAAGCCCTATAAGCCCGATAGGCCAGCCCCTGAAAAGGCCTCACTTGAGCGTTCGGGGCTGCTCTGAGCCAGCCTCCCACCGCGGGCCGAGAAGCCGTCGATCGCGGAGATCTCTTATCTAGGAGTCTGAATAATTACAGTAGGGTTTGGGGGGTATTACAAATATAATGAGGAGCCCTCAAAGTAGTATTGGTGATGATTAAGGCCCCTACACTATGCAATGCAGGCCTTCGGAGAGTCTAGCAGGCTTTCAATATTGCTACTTTCATGTTCTGAAGACCAGGTCTAGACTCTTCCAACCCCCCAACAACTAAGCCAAGTAAGATATAAAATAGAGGTGGGAACACGTACGAACATGTCCCCTTACGGTTCCCAGAATAGGCTCTATAGGGCCTGTAGGGTCATTATTTAATACCCCAACGGAGACGAGACACCGTTGTTGAGGCGGTCCAGCTGTGCGATGATACCATCCTCATGCAGAGATCACATTCGTCCAGGGGTGATCTGGCTCGGCAGGTTGCTGGGTTTAGGGTTTGCATGGGGCTTTGCAGGGCTGAAGAGCCTTGTATGAGGCTGTTGCTGCGGTCCGTAGTTGTTGGGCGTCTGGTAGCTTTGCTGACTACAGAGCAAAGCTGGCTGCATAGGTTTATGCAAAGCCATCTTGGGCTGACCTTTGCAAAGGCCTTGGAACACAGTCCTGAGTGATGGACTACTGCTCCTTGACATCCTACACATGTCATATACCAACACCGTGGGAAAACAAACAGAAGCTTATCTATATCAAGACACCCATGAAAGCCCTTGTCAGTGCGGTGTTGAGAGGAGCAAACCCGTCCGATTTCCATCGCGGGTGACAGCCCGAAGGCGGTCATTGCTCCATCCGGCTTCTTCGACAGCTGCCGAGTTGTATGATGCTTGTCCCAAATGCTACCAGACGCTACGATCCACATGGGACCGGGCACTGCCGTCATTCCGGTTCTTTCAAACCTTGAACCCTACAGCCCAAAGTGTAATCGAGTTTAAGCTAAACCCTGCGCGAAGCCCAGATTCCCCAATCTGAACAGCCAAACATCATACGGCCACGCGGTGCAAACAAGATTGCGACTGTACCTTCGCAGAGCTCAGAGGCATCAATGCAACTGCACCCAGGTTCGGGCTTTAGGACTTCATTTTTCCACTGGTCCCTCACAAAACCAACCCTCCTTAAAGGAATACCTACTGGAACCCCTGTCGAATCCCTTAGACTGGACGTTTGCAGATGTAGCTTCACATCAGCTTTTTTCAACGCCGGAAGCTCTTCTTGCTAGGTAATAAGACTTCCAACCCTAAGCCACAACCCAGTCCTGTCCACCCAGCAGCTTTTGGATCCTAAGCAGGCAGAGGATGAGGTTTCGATGGGCTTTCTGTGACAGGAGCGTGCAGGGTTCAGGATTTTGTTAAATCAGGCTCTCGTCTGGGGTTTGAACTGCCCTCTCTTTCTCTCTCTCTCTCTCTCTCTCTCTCTCTCTCTCTCTCTCTTTCTCTCTCCTGCCTGCTCGAGGCATCAGCTAAAGGGTTGTAACAAGAAACGAACCCAGTCAGCTTCAGGGCATGTGTGTCCGCCCATCTTGCCCTCTAACTGCTAACTCTTGCGCCCGTTGCCCGTAAACCGTAGACTGCTAATCTGTGGACCCGGCTCTGCGTGTTCGACTGCTGGTCTTGGGCTTCCTCTTGAGTCTCTAGCAGAATGAGTTGTAAACAGCCTGTGCCAGAAGGCAACCCCAAACTTGTCGTATCCATTCCAAAGCGTGCAGGTGGAGCAGACTGCAACTCAACAGGTAGGCGGAGAAGTCTTCCGAAACCCCGAACCCTGCTCAATCCACAGGAAGCTAGCTCAAGTGTGAATCTCTGGACCCGAAGCTTATAGCAGCCTGGTCAAGGTCTCTACAATATGAAGTTGTTGGAGTCCGAAACACTTAACCCTGCAGCAGACCCTGCATACAACTAAACACCTACACCTCGGCTGGGAGCCCTAATCAATCGTCAAACGTGGGTTGAATTTTCAGCCTTCGGGTTTAGGGAATTCTCATAGATCACGACAAGGAGCTGTGAGGAGGCCCCTGCGAGCTGTGCTTCCTGGGAAGGTTTTGGCTTCTGAGCGAACACTGGGAAAACCAGGTGATTTCCTTGACTTCTCACCGGGATTTAGAGTAGAGTCTGCTTCGGTCCCCTTTTAGGCTCGGCGACCCCGAGTTTGAGGTGATGGCAAAAACCTCGACCCGCCCAAATCCAACCAAAGTTCGAAAGAAGGTTTTAGGATTCAGGGATCTAGAGTTAGGGTTGGAATTCCTGCGCCGCCAAATGTCTCTGCAAACCATGCACCTGGCCTAAACCCGAAACCTTCACTAACCCCGAACTCTGATGATGCGCTCTCCTACACCCCTGAGAACCCACAAGATTGGCGCCGGAGCTATGACTTCCTTCAGCTCAAAAGCCACAATGCTGTTATCTAAGGCACTCCCTTCCAGTCTTGGATAATCCTTTAAGTTACTCAAATAGGAAGCACAGGAACCCCAAACCCTTTTTGAAACTGGGATTGTTGAGAACATAACCGTCCGACCTGTTGAAGCCCTTAAAACCCAAACTGGACAAGACCCTAACCTCTGAGTCTTGGGAATCCGGCAGACTCGGCGATAGCTGCTTTCACTTGGGAGTGATCGGCCAGCAGTACGTCCTCAGCTGGAGTTGCTTTAGAGGATCTTGACTCCGTACACGTGGCTATATAAGGTACGATGCAATGTAGTTGAGGACACATCCCGACTTGTCATCAAGGGTTTGGGCACTGGGTGCTGCTTCCTTCGAGAACAAATGGTGGTTTTAGGGAGGGCGGCTGCTGCTATCGATGTTCTTCTCATTGTTACGTATAAGCATTGGCCGCATTATGATTGTTAAATAGTATTGGTGCTTCATGTAGATTTCCAGCGACAGGATTGAGGCTGTGGAGGTTTGGGGTTTAGGACGTGGGGCGAAGCGACGGCTTGAAGGCTGTTCAGCAAGAGACATCAGATGCTGTCGCACCTCAACATGCCCAAAAGAGGGGTAATTATGAATAATTAGAACAGTTTTTTGACGGATGTCAGATCACGTCTAGAATTTCTACAATCAGGAACCCCGGGGAAGAATATTGGTAGCTGGCCAAGCTCCTACATAAGCGAGGCCTGGCTTCCTCTTTAAAACTTATTCGTTGAAACTCGAACCACAAAAAACACTCAACATATTGAAAAACAAATCTGGAAAACAACTCAACATACTGAAGAAGAAAAACAAACCGGACAAAACAGACTCAACATATTGAAGAAGAAAAAGGAATCTGAATAAGCCCAGGCCACCAGAAGTAGAAAGGATCCCTGAAGAGTTTAGGGATAGTTTAGGGCTTGTAGAGTTTGGGGCCTAGTGCCAAGACTGACCGTGGCTGCACACCCAAAATCTCGGTCGAGAGTCCGTTCTGTTCCCCAGGCCGCTGACCTGCCGGAGACACATCTGTACGGTTAGACTGCCATTATCTGCTACAGGATAGTAAGTCGGCACCAGTCACCACCCTATCTGACCACCACGACGGACACATTTGCATTCTATATTTTGTTCTTTTGTGGCCAACGGCGTATAGGGTTTAAGGGTTCGTTGCTAGCCGCTCTCCGTAGATTCACGGATAATTAACCTGGCTTCGGGCCCAACGTGAACTACCGTCCTCTTTACAACGGCTATGGACGTTCAGAAGATAAGCCCGAGCATAGACCTCCAAAGTATACATCAAAAGGTGCCACCTAAACCCCAAGCAGTGTAATAAACAGCAATCCCCGCCCCCTCCCCCCGAACGTTTAAGGTCCCGATCTCTTGGGTTCCATGCTACCTTCACACAGGGTTCTTCAAGGATTCTATGAGGTTTCCGGAAAGGGTTCTATAAGGATCTTGATTAATTACATGGCTACAAGGATTCTATACGGATTTGACGGCAAAAATTGAAACGGATCCGAAGAAATCTAGGCAGCTCTTGGGGCGATTCTAGGTTTCTGTGCGAATTCCGACCGTTGAGCGTTGCCTGTGCCCCGTACTCTCAAAACCGACCCTACTCAACTCTAAACCCTAAACCGCTTTGGGCTCCGATGCAGCAATGCGCAAGCCAGGCTGAGTCGTTGTCAGCTCCCAGCTTCTCAAGCTCCCGGCACCTCGGATCTGCTTCGCTTCGCCGGCCGCACCTCGTATTCGGGTCGAATCCCGAGCTGCCTGAACACCTCCCGGGCCTTGAGCTCGGCTTCCTCCTTGGCGTCGAACCTACCACAGTGCACAAGCTTCCGTTTGACGGCATCGTACTTTTGAACCCGCCACTTCTGTTGGCTTATGTCAAAGGCGACACCCCTCACCGTTGAGCGTGGGGGTTTCGGCTTCGGCGGCTTCAGTATTCCCTTGCGCACGAGCTCCTCGCGGTAGGCCTTTGCTTCCTGCAGCGCGGCCTCGACAGCCGCCTCCTCACCAAGGCCCCGCTCGAGGAACATGGCAATTGGAAACGAGCGAGATTTCCCTTTGTAACCACCAGCATGTCTATACTTCCATTCGCATCTCCAGGAACTTCTCTTCGCTTCCCAGATGATGTTCTGGATACCGCTCTGGCGCTCCTGTCTTACAGCTTCTACTCGGGGTTTTGTTGTGCCTTTCGCAAGCGGGTCCGAGGGCGCACCTACGCGGAGCAGCAACTCGTCGATCATCTGCTTGATTTTCAGCCAAGCCTTCCCCGCGGCAGCGCCTTGAATCTCCCCAACCTTATTCTCAAATTGGCTGATCTTCTGTTGCACACAGTCCAGGACATGCTCGATAGCTTGACAATCGAATTGGTTCATCTGCCATACACGCAGAGCATGCAGAAACAGAGACCGAACTCGTTTTTGCAGATCCACTGTCGGATCCTGCGATTCCGATGCAGTTCTGACTTCGCCTAGGCATAGGCCTTTGGCATCCTGCAGCCTCGCATGTCTGCGCGGAGCTGCAAGACAAGCTGCCGCCGTGCTGAGCACATCTGCTAGTTCTTCCTGGCTCAAGCTCCTTCGTGAGTGCCTCGATGCTTCCTCGGCCTGCTGCAAGCGCTCCAGCTTCTGAGCGTTGTCCAGAAAGCCCCACTCGTTCATCTTGCGGAACAACATAAGGTGCTGATCAGACTGAGCAGATGCACAGGGAGATCCGGAATCCTCCGTTTCACGGACTTGCAGGGCCACATCCTGCCCGGCTCTCAATTCAGCATCAGCGTTATCACCGGCAGCGATATCCGATTGGGCAGATGTTGCGCTGCAGCAGCGTAGCAACTGCCGATAGGTTTTTCGAAGCTGCTTCTCTGCCGCCTTCCAAGCCTCATCGGCCGGCCTGGGGAGAGACAGGAGCCGCTGTTTCATCTCACATAAGACATCGCTCAACCGAGAGGGCAACGGCCCACCATCCATCTTGTTCATGAACTTCGTCACTAGCTGGAGCTCTTCTACCGTCGGAATCCGACCCGGAGGGCCGAAGGCGATCCAGGATGCCACCGGGGCTGCAAGCCTTCGGAGGTCTGACTGGTCGGCGTAATCCGCTTTCTCCCAGTATGTGCCGATCCTGAGCTGCATTTTGGGTTGTCGTGTTTAATCCTGTCTTCCTGATATTGGTATCACAGTAAGGATGGGAGACCGGGCAACCCTTCAGTTGGTGCTGATTACTTAAGAATACAGCAATTACACTATTTATTGTGCCCGCGAGAAGAAGTGTGTACCAGATCTGGTCCGTGCTCGAAGTTGGGATAACTAGCTGATAATCTAGGTCATCAGCATCACTATGTTTCATAGTTCGTCACTGAACTTGAATTTCAGATCACTAATGAACGACTCGACAAGTTTAGTGAACAAACAATGCAAACGAGAGATATTAATAGCTCATGAAGGAACCATTCCGAAGTCTGTTCTCACTGTTCTCACTCTTCTATGCGCATATTTATTCAACCACTCTTCGGCCGTCAGGCAGATTGCTACAGTTCAAGTGTAAGTAATGATTCGGCGCATGAGGGTTGCCAACTCTTCACCCAAAAAGGATTTGAATCAACGCTTCCACAGCTGGCCAACTCGTCATATCCCTGCCAATACCTGGTACTCTAGCTTCTGCAACAGCAACAGCAGTAGCGCCAGCCACAGCCACAGCAAAGGGCAGCAGCAGCACCACGAACTACATAGCAACAGCAGCAACTGCGGCAACAACAACTACAACAGCAACAAGGGCAGCAGCAGCCCCACTAACTACAGAATCTATAGAGCAACCCCGACGCCTACTACTACTACTACTACTACTACTACTACTACTACTGCTACTACTACTACTACTACCACCACTACTACTACTACTACTACCACCACTACTACTACTACTACTACTACTACTACTACCATTACAACTACCACTACTACTACTACTACTACTACTACTACTACTACTAGTACTACTAGTACTACTAGTACTAGTACTAGTAGTAGTAGTAGTAGTAGTAGTAGTAGTAGTAGTAGTAGTAGTAGTAGTAGTAGTAGTAGTAGTAGTGGTAGTAGTAGTAGTAGTAGTAGTAGTAGTAGTACTAGTACTACTACTAGTACTAGTACTAGTACTAGTACTAGTACTAGTACTACTACTACCACCACCTACTACAGTACTACGACGACGACTACCACTCCTGTTGCTGTTGCTGCTGCTGCTGCCACCACGATAACGACTTCTTCTACAACAATGCCAAGTCTATGTCAACGTTTACACCCATTCGGACCACTACCGCGAAGGTCAACACCACCATAAAGACTAGCACGAACGCATTCAAAGCTCGTTTCAATGCCCCATGCACACGCAAACACGCAAGTTCCGAGCACGGTCATTGACTGCTTTTCCAATCCAAGCAGCGCAGCTGGCTTGTCAGTCTTACGACGGTGATAGAGTCGAGCATGGATGCGCAAGCGATCAATCGAAGCCATTGGGGGCCCCGGTCCCGACATGTTCTACTGCCAAGAAGGAAAATTCTGAAGCTTCCTCGCTTTCCGGCGATGCTGCTCGGCATGCAACCTTTTCAAGTACATACAGCTGAAACATTGCAGAGGGTAAACAACGAACAGAATCTGTTGGCCTACGGGCACGACGCAAGCAACCGAGCTATACATCTTAAGTTGCGAGAGCCTTCATGCCAACCAACCATGTCACAAGCGATGCAGCCTGCCCCGGACGATATAATTCGGACCTCAATAATCAGAATACGGTTTGGGGGAACACTGTGTTCTTGTCGGGATATTTCTATAGACGGGGCAAAGTACTGCTCAGTATCAGGACACCGTTACGAACCTGCAAATCATTCCTATACCGTACGAGACTAGCAGCGCAGCTGGACATGAACATCCCGACGTCCTCTCAGACTCTTTTGCAGTTATGGTGTGGTGTCGTAGAATTTATGAAGCTTATCAATGAGGATCCAAACTACTAAATTTAGGGTCTAGATACTGGATGCTCCAACCCCAGGCTTGTGTAATCGCTTTCTGGCCGTTTTGCCGAAACCGAACACCGAAACTGTTGATGTTGCATCCTCGTGTGGCTCCGCAGAGGGGCCTAGCGACTAGAGTTTTGGCAGCTGTTAACACCTCAAGTAGACAAAAGAGTCTACTGGAGTAAGTCTGTTGCGACCTCAACCCTCTCTCTCTCTCTCTCTCTTTTTGTTGTCGCTCTCACACATGCTCATCCTGCAGGCGCAAACCCTGAACCCTAAAGCCCCGGGCCGTTGGCTCTCAAAACGGGAACATGGTACAAACATCTTGCAAGCCTAAAGGCCCCGAAGCCTCCATTGGGTAAACCTCACCTCAACCTTGCCGTACCTCATTTGCGGATCCTTGTCATATGTATCCTGGTGTTCAGCCTATGTAATCTGTGGGTCTCTTCAGTTGTGAAACTCCGCTTTCTACCTGCACTTGAAACATCTCTCTCAAATGCAGGGCCTACGGACAAATGCCCAAACCCTACCTACGCAGGATAGATGTGCGTGAAGGTTGTTCACGCGTTCCCTCTCTTTGATACGATAACATGAACCCTGACCATGGACTATGCAAGCCAGCCAGACTGCCAGAAGGCCAGCAAGCCAGCAAGCAATCAACGAAACCCTAAAATGATTTGAGGTCTGCAGTTTGGATTGGGGTTGCGGGTCTTGAGCTCCGGGCTTAGAGCACATTTGCGGAGTTTCCTGGGCCAAAAGCACGACAACCCACAAGCAACCCTAAAACTGTATAGGGTTTACAGTAGAAGCCCAAGAGTTGGAAACCCCAGAGCCTCCATCCTTAAGAGTAATGTATAGGGAATCCCAGCACTATTTGGCCTTAATCCGGTTTCCAACTTTATGGGGTTTACTGTAGGGTTTAGAACCTTTCAAAGAGATGCCAAGAGCCCACCTTCTTGTGGACCTCCTGTATCCCAGTCGTGGCTTCGGTCGCCCGAGCTTCCTCACTTAGTAATTTTCCTACCTCAAGGCTCTACTGGGGGAATATGGGGGTTCTACACAGGTCCGTTCAGATTTGAGATTTCGGGTTGAGAGTTTTGGGGACGCAACCCAAGAGGTCTGTGTAAACCCTGCATGCAGGATCGTCAGCATAGGCCACAAGCAGGGCTGAACATAATGCCGTCTTCGAACAGATGACTTACAAGACACTTACTCAAGCTGCCTCTGGACCTACAAACCTAGAAAACTGTACAGTATCAACCCGCCACCTATCTCACAGAAAAGCTGTGTCTATAAATTGACTGAACATACAGAAGCCGCGTCTACATACTGTAAAACCTGCCACCGAGCACTCTGCAGTCTTCGAGTTCAAGCCCAGCGTGGCGTACGAAAGTTTGTCGCCATGTGGGACGTGCTAAACCCCCGAACACCACACCAAAAGAAGAAACCTCAAAGTCAAACCGAAGGCGTTATGATTGCAGATGATTGTGGGGAGACAGCATGCTATAAACACAAATCCTTGCAAGACCAGCGGCCAAGGCTGTAAGGCGACTCTGATTCTGTGCCACCTGCTCGCGATGATGGAGAACCTGACCGGGGGCAGTAGTGGCAGCAGCAGCAAAAGCCGCCTTCGCGGATGGTAGCTTTTGCCTCCTGCATAGCGTCGAACAAAGCAGTAGTAGTAGTAGTAGTAGTAGTAGTAGTAGTAGTAGTAGTAGTAGTAGTAGTAGTAGTAGTAGTAGTAGTAGTAGTAGTAGTAGTAGTAGTAGTAGTCGTAGTAGTAGTAGTAGTCGTAGTCGTCCTTGTACTTGTTGTTGTTGCTGCTGTCATCGTCGTTCTTGTTGCTGTGGCGGTAGTGGCGGTGGTGGTGGTAGTGGTGGTGGTGGTGGTGGTGGTGGTGGCGGCGCTGGTGCTCGTCTGCTGGCACTGCTGCCGCTTGGGCTTATTGTCGCTCGTGCGCCGCCTGAGTGTTGCTGCAATTCCTCTTGTCGTGGCTTGGCTTTTCCGGGCCAATGTGTGACAAGCTCATTGACCTGTATGCTTCGACGAACCAGCCCTTAAACCACCAAGCCGTAAACTTTTCCTGAACCCTAGAACCCAAAACCCTTCATCCCTAAAACTGCAATCCCTACAACTGAGGCACAGGTAATAGGGTTGGTGTTTGTGCACTATCGTAGAAACATGCATAGTAAGGAACCTTGCGGAATAGTAATAGTTTCTACCCACATCGTGCGGCTGATACATGACTTTGTGCGAACCTCATAGAATACTCATAAGAACCCTTTAATGGCCGCGCTATACCCGCAAACCTCATTATACCAGTAATCTTATACGAACCCTTTACTTCGGGCCGGGCTTCTATGTTACGCGGTTCTGCAGATTCACGGCCCTCAAAATTAGGGTTAAGATGAACCTGACCCACGCCTTTTAAAGTGGGGCTCTTAAGGTGCCGGGCGTCCGGGTTTGAGGGTTTGGGGGACAGAGGGGTAGGTAGCGTTGTCGGTTGTGGGTTGCGGGGGTTAGGGGTTAAGGGCGTATGTAGGATACTTTGTCAGATAAGTCAAGCTGTAGTAAGCGGAGGGTACTACGGTGTCCCAAACGCGACTTCCCGAACAGGATCCCTCCACCTTGCCACGATAAAGATGCCAAAGACGGTCGCTGTAAACCCCGAACCCTAGCATCCTGAAGTGCCAAATGGGAGTTTCCGAAAATTAGGGGTACCTTATTTTGGGTCCTTATAATAAGGATCCTGTTATGTAGGGTGCTATACCAGGGTCCCCTATTTTTGAAAACTCTCAAACCCTGACATGCACGCACACACGCACACACATCCTACAATGTCAACAGGCACCCCTGAAAGAGACCAAGAAACACATAGAACAACCGAGCGAAGTAACAACGCGATAGCAAGAAAGCATGCTCATGATACTGCCGAAACTCTCAATATCTTTATCGATTCAACACTGGTATGGCTATTGAGATCACAGCTATGATTACCTAAACTGTTGCCACTATTGATATTGCTATTCCTACTATTCTTGTTATCCGTGTTGTTGTTGTCATTGTTATCAGGCCTCATCCTCGATTTCGGTGGTCTGGGCCGTGAGAGCATTCAGCGCATCGCTGAGAAGTTCCAGCTGATCCACAAAGGGCCTCTACAGGGCTTTGGGCTCACGGTTTTCGGGTTGAGGGGTGTTCAAGAGCTGGAGCGGCTTTCACGGCTGTGTACCTCAAATTCGAGCTTTACGAAAACAAGTGCCTTGCCCTAAACCCTAAACCCTAATCCGACAGCCAACCAAAACCCTAAACCCGGCAGCGCCCGAGCCGCCGGGGCATAAACTGTTGCGCAGAACTGCCGGGCTCAACATCCAAAACCTGAAGAATTCGCGACCTGAAAATGCAGTTAAAATCGTTTCGAAGTGCCGTAGCCCCGAGGCGAGAGGTCATAAATATATCTACTGTGCTCTCATATCTTCTATGCATGTCGTAGCAGGCAAGTTGCTGCAGAATCGTCATCAGCTGAGCGTGCACGAACTCCTGCAGCCAAAGACGATAAGGTTCAAATTCATTGTGCTCCAGCATTTCGGATCTGCGGCTTGAGGCCCCCCAAGCTGGCTCCTAAGTGATATCAGAATCAAACCCCAACACCCAAAAAGGCTGTCGTTTTGCAACAAATTTGGGCCCGGGTAACTGGGATATAACAAACCCTCGAACATACGGTGCAACTCTCGAACCTCAAGCCTAAACTCCTGGGGTACAAGCTTGAAAGCCTACGCCGTCCTACGCTCCACAAGCTGTACACAGTACACAGAGAGGTTGAAAACAAACACATACACCAACACCATTAGGGCTCAGGATCGCTTACAGACGCAGTTGCGAAGAAAAGGCCCAGCGGTCGGAAGCGTCGCCTCCCAGAACCCTGAAAAATGTAGAGTCCTGCCAAACCTGCTTGCTAATACAAAACAATCCTGAAGTCATCCCCCTCCCAGCTTTTAAAAGGCCGTGAGCCCCAAAGGCCCTGAGAGCCGTAAGCATCCTACATGACCTCACAGACGCGAAGCTCTCAAGGCCCTAAGCACTCTAGACCTAGTGCCGCGCATGATGTTAACTAGGTTTGGTGTGCATATATCTATATATGTGTATATACATGCATACATCATATACATATGAATATTCATATTGATACACTACAATTATGTAGGGACTTGGTGGGGATGCTGCTACTACAGTTGTTCCGACCCTATAATATCGAGACCCCACAGCCAGCAGGCGCCTTGTGATCGTACTTGCTACGTCGCCGTCACCCGAGTCATGCAATTACGAGCTATACAGCACCGGTTAACCTCCGCACACCCTAAACCCTTGCCCCCCCAAAGCCAAATCCCATGTTAAGTACAGGTTGATGCCCACAGACAGGCTAGGCCGGCCTGCATCATCGCCTCATGCTTCGTGTCCGGCACAGGGCTCGGCTTAACGCCGGGGGACCCATCGGGGCTCCTGACGGAGAGGTGCTCTTGATGAACGGTTTAGGGTTTCGGCACACTTCTCGATTTGTGGGTTTAAGGTATATAGAGTATAGGGATGTATAGGGTCCAGGGCGGTGGCGTGCGGGGACGAATTTACTGCAGTTGTCGGTTTTGGGGACGGCTGGACTATGAGTACGTTAAGAAACTCTGAGAAGTACAGTGCGATATCCAAAACCTCCACATATCATGCCACCTCAAAGGTGGTGCTAGACAAAGCCCCATGAAGCCACCAAAACCCTCCAGTTGGTTTGATAAGAATGGGCAGTCTGCGAACAAGAAGAAGAAGCCCATTGGCATCTGCAAATTATCCAGGGACTTTAGAAATACTCCCACGACAAAAGGGTCATGAACTCGTTGCAATTATCAACCCTAAACCGAGCCTTGGGTTGTGTACGAAGACGACAGGCTTCGGCTCTGCTGGTGGATGTGCCGACGAAGAGGCAGCCATTGGGCTCACGTGCGATGGGGAAGGGTTCTCCGATCAAAAAGACCCCCGCTTTTCAGGGCTCCTACGACCCGGCCTAGAGACTCATGGCTTTACATAAATGGATGGGAGGCCAGTACAGTGCTACAGTAGGTGGTCGGGGCCCAACAGAACCCCTCTTCAGGATGCAACTCATTAAGACCTGCGGGCTATGTTGAACCTACATTGGCTCGGATAAAAGCGACTGCAACGGTATCGATGTTCGTATTGGCATGATATAGGCATGTGGGGGTTTGAGGTTTGGTTGGATGTTTGTGGGTAGTACCAGGTTGGTACCATGTCACTGCATGGTGCCGCAGAGGTGTCATGCTGAGGAAACAAAAAACCCGTTAATTACCTTGACAAGGGTCCTCCTGTAGGGTCTTCCTACGTGTGGCCCTGTGAGCCGTCACAGAGAGAGACGTTCCTAGTTTGGGAATTGCAAAGTGAAGATGTGCTTGCAAGACATGACATAATGGAACCATTACCATATTTGTTGTTTGTATTGTAGTAGTTTCAGTGGCCCGCAATAGGGACCAGGCGCTTTAGTATTTTCGTAGTGGGCTTGAGATGCTTACACATGACCCTCTCTCTCGCTCTCTCTCTCTCTCTCTCTCTCTCTCTCTCTCTCTCTCTCTCTCTCTCTGTGTGTACCTATGTATGTATGTATGCACGTATGCAGCATGCATGGATGGATGTATGAATGTACTGATGTATGTATGTACGAATGCATGTCTGTCTGCCTGTCTGTCCGTAAGTATGTGTGTATATACATCCATATGTACATATACGTACATCTAGAATTTTAAACAAAACAAAGGGTTATACTGACACCAGAGGTATAGTAGTACTCATGACAACAGCAACTAGTCTTAACAATCATCACCGCAAAGTAAGCATGTGCAGAGGTGTGCAGAGACGTCAACAGAGCTCTGAGCTTTTGCGGTAACCCCTTACCCAAGAAAAATGACCCCTGACAATTTGGTGCGATACTTGAGGGCCCAGGGTCCACGGGCAGCTCCAGTATAGCCACAATAGGTATGTTAGGACTCGGGTTTGGGGCATCAGGCTTAGGGAAAATCCGAACCGACCCAAATCCAGCAGCGCACCTGTCAGCGGATCCTCTGTCCTTTCGAGAGAAGAGGGGTCACGTTCAGGGTATATACGATTGACCCAAACACGCTTCATGGTATCAAAGAACGAGGGCGAAGAACCCAGGAACAGCTCTGCCAGTACATTAAGCAGCAAATGCTCAGCGGAGGGGGGCCGGGCAACCATCCTTCTCAGCGGTTTTGGGGTTGGTCCAAGGGCCGACGGCAAAATGAGACTTGGAAGCCCATGGTTTCGTGCCCGTCCTACGCATTTACCCGTAACACAAAGGAAGCTCGAGGAACTCTGAACCTCCAACATACTATAATTCCCCTAGGGCTGCCAGGGCCCCCTGTAGCCTAGTGCGGCTTGAGAAGCACCTGCGGGCACACAAACATATATATATATATATATATATATATATATATATATATATTCATACGTATTACATATATATATATATATGCTAGAGCCTAAATCCCAAATCTTAATCGCTGGATCCCAACATAAAGCCCAAAAGCCCGTAAACCCACAAACCAATGAACCGAACATTAAGCCCTGCACCCTAAAAAACCGAGCCTGAAAATCCTAGTTCAGTTGAAGACAACCTAAGCCTTCGTAGAACCCCCATAAGACCCAGGTACAGCTCACAAAACCTCCTCTATGAAGCCGCAACTTCAGCCCTGGAAAGTACGGACAAGGCAGAAGAGAAGGGGCCGGAGAAGAGAGAACGCGAGAAGAGAAGGCTAATAATTGATAACTCCATCCAACCAAGATAGGGCCAAACCCGACACAAAGATACACAAAGCCTCGCAAATCCCTGCGAAAACCCTCAAGCCCAGGCAACGCTGCGAACCTCTTTCAGAAACATCTCTACTGACGTCCTACAAAGCACCGTTCAGTAGCCTCTCGCTGCTGGGCCCCAAGCTGGTTGGTCCCTTCCAAGAGCATTGAAAGCGCCTCGCGCGACAAAATCTCCAGATGCTTATGCTTCAGGAATTAGGTGTTGTAGGCTGTAGAACTTAAGGGAATTTTACGGTTCTAAGGCTTGCAAGCTTCAGACCTTCGGGTCGAAGATGGGGATAGGCTTCTGTGTTTTGGGGTTTGGGTCTTGGGTTTTCCGGCGAAAAAGCAGGCCAAGGATGGGTAAGGGTTCTTTTTGCCTACCGCTGGCTGGGCCGCACCGCAGGAAGAGGGATTCGGGCTTAGTTTGTCGTGGAAGACTGCCGGCTCCAAAGACGATAATATGAAAATGTATTCGTAGTGTTCTTGGGCGATGTTGGGCTCACGGATGAAAAAAAACTGTAGTTTCGAGAATGCATGTCATGGCTCGAACACAACCTCCGAAACACTAGGATCTAAAATGGAGGTGTCATGGATTAGGTCTTCAGGTAGTGGGTATTCGGTTTGGTTTGAACTTCGACGAATGCATGAACCTGCAAGTCTGCAAGTCTTGGGGCAGGGTTGGTTTTCAGTTGTATGACTGTATCAGTGGACCACGGCTTTCAGGCTGCAGCCATTCAACCCGCATGGAGGCTGTTCTACATGGAGTGGGTACTATTTGTTGGAGACTGCAGGCAGAGACTAGCTCCCTCGCCATGTGGACTCCATGCCGACGCTCCCTAGGCAGACACGACCCAACCCCCTTACTCAACCCCAAACTCTTTCAGGTTATATACATAAAAAAAAAATATATATATATATATATATATATGTATACATACAAATTTTTTGGTCCAGCTATAAAACACTACCCCACCTGCTGCAAGCACTCGAGCACAGCATCGACACAGGTAGAATCTACGAAGTTGTGCGAGACGGCAATGCCTGGAACGAAGGGGCAAGCCTACTTTACGGTTTAGGGTATGTTTACAAGTGCTTGGGGTTGCGGGATTTCGGGTTCACTGTAGGGTGTATATGCCGGTTAACGCCAAAAAGCCGTAAAGATCCAAACAGGTGCATCACAGTTGACAGCAACACTTTATGCCCTAACGGCCCAAGTACCGTCATCGACCCCCCCCCCCCAGACGAGAAGAACCTACATTACCACCATCCTAGGTAGAGAATTAATTCGCACATACTTTGGACGTTAAAGTTGGACCATAGTTTTCAATCTGCTGTGCCCCTGTCTTGGCGGGCATCCCGTGCCGGAAAGCCCAACATTAAGGCCAGAAAATTCTGACCATCTTCATCCCTGCGAAACCTTATTGAACCAAAGAGAACGCTCATGAAGCCCTTGCAGAAGCCAGTATCAACCCGTCTGAACCTGTAGAACCTTGATGAAGTCCTCGTGATGCGGCAGGTTAAACCAGAAACACAAAATCGACATCGAGTCTGGAAAGTCAAAAGCTTGTGGCTGGGGCCTTTGGACAGTTGAGGCTTGAAGGGTAATGGTTGAAAATTGGATTTCTTTAGTCTGGAGCTACAAGATTTCACGAGGTGCACCAAACTTTGAGGGATGACTTTAAAACAGACAGAGCTCGAATATGGCACGGTCAAGAAATGTACCGTCATTCCCATGGTTGGTTTCTAGAGTCGCAAACCTCGGAAAACATCGTGATGATAAGGGATATACACAATTCGGAAAACGGATGCCGAAGAACCCCTAGCCCCAACCCCTGAACGCTCAACTGAACCCCGAAAGAGGAACAGCTGAAACCCCCATGTTGCCCATACCTGAAACCTCTAAGCCGGAGCCCCTGCAGTACAACGACAAGCCCTAAGCCTCCAGAAACTAACACCCTCAACCACTACGGAACCCGTGTAGAAACCTTTACATGACATAAAGGAGCCCATATATATATATATATATATATATATATATATATGTGGAGTCTAACCCCGGACTGGATCTGACGGGGCATTCTGAGGCTCCGGCTAGTTCTGGTACCTCGATTTCGCACAGAATGCCTTGGATGACGGGGGATCCGGGGATCCGGTTGGGGTTTCGTGTCTGGGAGTTCAGGATCTGCAAGTGGCTCCACTTACAGGCTAATGCAAGGGTGCCCATATCGATCTGTCTACCGGCCTACCTAGCTATATATACCCACCTACCAGTCTTTCTACATGCCATAGCCTATGTCTCTTTCACGAATTGAGCCCCTCGCCCTTTCAGTGGGATGTGCAACATCTCTGCTTTAAGCGCTTTCTGTGTTCCACCGTCCCTGAATGGCCGGCTTTATCGAAAAAGGCTATAGTAGACAGTCGAAAAGATCAAGGGTCTTTATCCAGCTACCAACCTGTGGAGGATTTAACACATGCACACACACACACACACGAACGAACCAACAATCCGTCTAGACGTCCCATACAAGTCTGTGAAGCCGAACTCCTCAGTGAAATTGCCCCTACGGCCCTACAGCCCTACCAACGCCCAGCAAACACCAAGCTATCGAGGATCTCAAGATCAGCCCAGCTTCAAGATGGCGGAAGGCACGAAAATCAGCTCCTGGGAAAGTTCAGGTTGGGGCTTCGGCTTTAAGATTTGTGATTGAAGGAATTTAGGGCTTACGCTCTTGCAAACTGGGACACAGGCAGACGAGGTCTCGGTTCACAGTCGGACTACAGGATGGGGTTTTCCTGCCTGCATCCTAGTTCCAAAAGAATAACTCTGGCGCTACCCATAGGCCACAAAGTGCCACAAAGTAGTTCCTTTTGGGGATTACCTTTTAAGATTCTATATACAAACCCCAAAAAAGAACTGCTTTGGGGCCTTAGGGTAATGCTAAGGAAAGGGAAAGCGGGCCCTACAAAGCTGGATGTACGTTGCCGAGTGGGGGTATCTTGATCCGCAACCCAGATCGATTCCGAGGCCGTCGTTCCGGACCCATAGGAAGACAAGATGCTAAGCCTTTGACTACGACACAACACGTCTATCGCCAGGCAAAACCCATATC